GTCATTTTATAGATCAGTGATAACGGGTAAGGAAGTGATTTTGAACATTCTTTTGAGAACACTTTTATTTACTTTAAGGTTTACTACCTTCAACATCAGCGTCATTAACTTATATTCAACATCAGCATCATTAACTTATATTTAACATCAGCGTCATTAACTTATATTCAACATCAGCGTCATTAACTTATATTCAACATCATCGTCATTAATTTATGTTCAATATCAGCGTCATTAACTTATATTCAACATCAGCGTCATTAACTTACATTCAACACACGGCGATCTTACCTGCAGGCCATGCCAACTTGCAAATCGCGTATCTGATTGGGGGCCTATTTAAAATTTCGCTGAACTTTAGTCGCCATTTTACTGATATTAAAATATCGGAAAAAAATGTTGCATTTATGGCTACACTATAAATTATTTATCTGCAAAAAAGAAATCTGATAATTTAAACCTTTGAGTATATCGATTTCCTAAAAATGAAGAAGAAAAATAAATGTGGATTACAGTAATTCCAAATGAAAACTTAAAAGTAAATAATGACACTGTAGTTTGTGAGTTAATAAATTGTCCGATAAATTTTGAACAAAAATAGTTATAAAAAAATATTGTCATAAATTTCCACCATCTGTTTGGCCTGGCATACCGTCTTGTCAAACTCTTACCCATCTTCCTCCATTATGTGCAACAACTTGTGCTTCTTCGTGTTTTCGAAATTTCGCTCATAATGAACAATCCACTTTTTTAGAAATAGATAGAGTAACTTTTGCTGAAATAAAAATAATTCTTTTAAATAATGAAAGAGATTTAAGTGTTCCATTAGTATGCTTTATGATTAATAACACTATTCATTTACAATCACAAGTTTATTCAAATGGAGTTCCTTATTTTTTAATTAAGATTAGTGAGGATTTAGATTTTGAAACTTATCATTATGGTGCTAAAAATAACGTTCCTACAATATCTAAATACAGAATTTCAAAAATTATTTGAAGAATTTAACTCCAGACAGAAAAGAAAATGTAATTCAGGAACATTTAGCCTCTATGGGGACATAGTGTGTTGGTAGAAAGATTTATTCTAAGGAGGTTATTATTAGATCTTTTCAGTATTTTGCTACATCTAGAAGTTTGTATAATCAATTGCGAACAGGTTACCAATTGTCTTTAAGATTGTCTGTAAGAACTTTGACAAAAATAACTTCAAAGGTTTCTAAAAAACAGAAACTTTGTTTTTATTGTATGATGATGTTAAAAAAAAGTTGTTATATATATATATATATATATATATATATATATATATATATATATATATATATATATATATATATATATATATATATATATATATATAATATATATATATATATATATATATATATATATATATATATATATATATATATATATATATATATATATATATATATATATATATATACAAATAGTATTGCGTACTAAGGTAAGCAATGGTGGTACATTATTCGGAAAAGCAATCGACGATTCAACTTCTCTTGCAAAAACTATATTGGGTTTAATGGTTAGTTGCACCATAGTTAATTTCCAAAATGATACCTATAAATAAAGTGAACCCTCTATTTCTTTTTGAACAAACTATTAATATTTAATCTATAAAAAAGTCTTTGGGTTAAGTTAAAGCTATAATATGCGACGGAAATACAATTAATCGGGCATTTTTTCAGATCTTTGAAAGTTCAGCTCCAGATAAACCCTGGTTAGCTAATGATGGTATTTTCTTAATCTTTAATTATGTCCATTTGCTTAAAAATATTAGAAGTAATTGGCTTACTGAATAGACTGGTCAACTTAACTTTAACGATAAAGGAGTACATAAGTTGCTCAATGGGATCATCTTAAAAAACTTTATGAACTTGAATCAAAAAATTTAATTAAACTATCCAATTTAAATAAAGTTTCAATATTTCCGAAGCCGATTGATAGGTAGTTAATTTCTACCTGTTTAAGGGTATTTTGTGACAAGACTTACCATGCTTTTATAAATCATCCAGGACTGCAGCATATAAAAGAAAGACAAGATACAGCAGATTTTATTAACATTGTTGTGTCATGGTGGAAAGTTCTCAATGTTAAGGGAACAGGTGCTGATATTAAATTCAATGATGACCTACAAGCAGTAGTTAGTGATCCTAATGATAATAGATTAGAAAATATTTTGGAAATAGGGCTTAAAAGATGGTTGGAAAGTAAGATAAAAGGGAGAAATAACTTGCTTGTGATACTGCACAGCCAATTTACCACACACAAAATGGTATTGTTGAACTATGTAAATTATTATTGGATAGCTCACATCAATATGTCATTCTTAGTGAGTTTTCTACTGATCATTGATGACATTGGAAAGAGAATTTAGCAAATTGTTCCAAAATTCAAGAGTTACATATTTCATAACAGTACACAAATGATTGAAAAGTTGAATATTTCAAGAGCTAAGCTTTTGCTATTACAAGATACAGCAGATTTTATTAACATTGTTGTGTCATGGTGGAAAGTTCTAAATGTTAAGGAAACAGGTGCTGATATTAGATATAACCCAGATGTTGAGACAAGTCTTGATACAACCCATTCTTTTCCAAACTGTGGTTTTCTATTGGATGAGCCCTCTGCTGACATATTTGACACTCTACCAGATCTCGAATCTTTTATTTCTCTTGACACAAAGATGGCTCTTATATATTTATCAAGGTATTTAACTTGTAAAGATAAAGAACTATCAGAAAATAAATTGCTAGATAAAACCGCTTTTTACCACCAAAAATATGGACAATACATAGACCCAATTGACCTTGGTGGGCTTAATATTCCCACAGATAATACCTGTCAATGGTTAACTTTTTTTTTATAGTTTTCAATGCAATTAAGGATAAAGTATGCAGAGTATCATTAAGCAATATTTTAATGATGATTTCAGAGTTTTGAGATGCAGCGACACCATGGAAATATTTTTTGAACAATTTATGTAAACTTCTTACTCCACGTTCAAATAAAGAACTAGCTCAAAAAATATTGAAACTGTCATGAATTCTTGGACAACATTTAAAAACCAAAAATATATATATATATTTTATTTAATTTTTACTGACTTTTTAAAGGTTTTTAAAGTTTTTTTGTCGATTATCTATATGTTTGTGTGTGTGTATATATATATATATATATATATATATATATATATATATATATATATATATATATATATATATATATATATATATATATATATATTTAATTTCAGTTTTTAATTATAAAGTAAATCTTTTTGAGCGAAAAAAGTTTATTGAGTTAAAATAAAATACTAAACCGATTTTTTTGGTTTTTTCTGTTTATAAAATAGGCCCCCAGTCAGATACGCCGTTAGCGCGTGTGGTATTGACCGCCGGGATTCAAGATCAACGTCATTAAATTATATTCAACACCAGCGTCATTAACATATATTCAACATCAGCGTCATTAACTTAAATTCAACATCAGCGTCATTAACTTAAATTCAACATCAGCGTCATTAACTTATATTCAACATCAGAGTCATTACCTTATATTCAACATCAGCGTCATTAAAACTTGGATCGCTACAAAAAATTTAACATTTTAAAGAAAAAGTTACAGCGTCTAATACCTATTAAAACGAAATACTCATTTAATAAATTTACAATAATTACCTCGTTTGTTATAACTGAACCATCAACAGTTATGAGTGCTTTAATTTTTTTTTTTTTTTTTTTTTTTAATTATTCTCTTCCCCAAGGCCCGAGGGGGCCACTTCAGTCGAGGAGGCTACTCATTTTTTTTTTTATTATTTATTTTTTTTTGTTGTTGTTGTAAATCGTGGTACAACCCTTTCTCAACTCTTTAACTCCGAAACACGAACCAAAAACTGACTTAAATTTAAGATTTAAGTCAGTTTTTTGACCCAGATCTATCCCAAAGCTCTTGTATATTTATTAACTTTTTTTTTCACATTTTTATCCAAGGTTTTATAGTAATTTACCATGTCAGTTTGTTTAAATGTTACATGCTAGCACATGTACTATACCTTTTTCTTTTTCTTTTCCGAAACTTTTTAGTCATTCATAGAAAATATTTTTAATTCTATCATAATTTATATTTACAATAAATTTACGACAATTTATCAGTATGATATATATTTATCCATTTTTTGTAATCTTGACTAATATTTAAACCCTTAAACTTATTTTCCCAATCAAAACTTGAAAAATAATTTGAAAGTTTTTTGTAATTTTCTTTAATGTATAATGTTTTTATTTTTTTGTTTTTTTTTTTTATGGTTTATGATCATTAAGATCATTATTTTTATAAAAATATTTGTATTTTAATATATGGTGCCCATGGTCAATTCCATCTAGCAGAGCTGAAGACACCGGGTGGGCCGGGAGGCACGTACCTTCCCACACTTTTTTTCTAAAGAACCTTTTTTTGTTTCTTAAGAAAATTATGAATAGAGAGGACTTTTTTTTAAATTTGACAATTGTGCCCCTCCACTTCGAAGCCTGTGTCATCGGCCCTGGCTAGACTTAAAACAAAAAACCAGTCTTTACCCACCGCATTGTTTTTACACGAAATAATCTGATCAGAAAGATAATAATAGTTACTTAATAAAAACTTTCTTTAATTTAAGTTTTAAAAGTTCAAAAGACAATAATTGATCTAGTTTTTTTTTTTAATTGTGATAGACAACCTTGAAGTATTTTATATTTATTTTTAATTGTGATAGAAAACCTTGAAGCATTTTATATATTTTTTTAATTGTGATAGACAACCTTGAAGCATGTTTTAAAAAAAATTATGGAGATAAACTATTTAATCATTAAATGTTCAATCGACCATTTTTTGGCAAGTAATTTAACGAAAAAATGCAAAAATAAAAGTTATATAATTATTTATTCAGGTGGTATTTGTTTACTATAAAGAAGTTGCATTAGACTGTAGCAACCAAATTATTCATTCTTTATGTTCATAGAGACATCAAAGAAAAACAATGAGAACGGTATGATTATATTAAATAAACTTAAATTTTAAAGATTAATTAGCTCAGTATACTTTTCTTTGTCTAATTATAACTTTTTTTAAAAACAATACTTTGAATAGGATATTTCAACGTTAATTAAAAATTTCACCATTAACGTTACCTATCAGTTTAGCAGTAATATTAGTTGCAAATCATTTAAACAACAGTTTAAATTCTGTGAAGCGTTCCAGAAGTAAATGACCCTCTGTGGTAGTTGATTAAGATTAGAAGTATCTTAAAAGAATTTGGAATGATGTTAGAAAATTGCCTTCTGATCAGGTTGTTTCATGTAAAAATAATGCAGTGAGTAAAAAAGTGATGATTATACTGGCAGTTTTTTTATTAAAGCAAAAAGTAAAGATGTATACTAAAGTGATTACGCCTCAAATTTTAAACAGGTTTTTAATTTTAAACCACAACTCTTTTGGATCCTAAAGAAACCTTTAAATTGTCTTCAACCAATTTTAAGCACGTAGTTTGAATAATAACCGATATATTTATTGCATTACTGACTACATTTTATCAAACTTACATACTTACAACTTTATTGAACCAGGTGCAAAAGAGATTGATGTGTCCGAATTTCTCTCTCTCTCTACGTCTACCAAAATAAATATAGTTTTTTTATCGTGTTTATTATTCTAACTTCATTTAATTTTTTTTTTTTTTTTTCTTTTACTTAATATTTTTTGTAACATTTTAGATTTATTTGGTGTTGGCAGTTCTTTTTTACGGAAAAGTTTGCGCAATTTACGGTATGCTTTTATTTTTAACGGAAAAGGTTTGTAATTTACGGTATATTTTTATATTTTACAAAACACATAGAACTGCTTAGGGTTTTATGCTTCTCACATAAGCTATTATGAGGTTTTATTGTTTATATATTTTATAAATGGCCGTAGCTTTCAGCCTCCAATGATTGACGTTTTTTGCAAAGCATCTTTATTTGGATAAAATATAAACATAAATAATTGATCTTTGTTTGCTCTACGTCTAGAAAATCTCTAAACGCCAAAAATCGCTGCACTCTCCTGCAGTATATAATTTAGCTGCATATATGTAGCAGTATATAGTTTTAAGAAAGTAGATATTAAAGAGAGGTGACTAGAAAACTTTTTTTTGCAACATCTGCTTAAACATAATTGAAAAAGTTAATAATAAAGGCGTGGAAAAAATTATGCCGGCTGGAGGTATTAAACTAAGTATATTTATACTATAAATATGTTTGTAAATTTAATTTTAATAGGTTTGAAAAAATAAATTGAAAATTGAGGGATTTCCTCAATTTCTGAGAAAATAGATTTTTTATGAAACTAATGAGAAAGCAGATTTTTAAAAATAACTAGAAATGGGTGAAATGCTTTTTTTATAAACTAACTTTATAAAGAATTATAGTGTCAAAGTCGGGTAAGGTAGATATAATATATATATATATATATATATATATATATATATATATATATATATATATATATATATATATATATATATATATATATATATATATATATATATATATATATATATGTATTTTTTCAAATAATCAAACTCTTTATATTATATATATATATATATATATATATATATATATATATATATATATATATATATATATATATATATATATATATATATATATATATATATATATATATATATATATATATATATATTTCAAGTATACTTGTTTCAAATTTAATCATAAGTTTTTAACTTTCTATTAATTATTTTAGAAAAACATTTTTAAAAATACCTGAACAACCTTAAAAGAATGCAAAATTAAGGTAATTCGAACGAATATAAAAACTGCAATCTTATTATATTTTTTATGATGTTATCATTATATATGAATAACCTCAGCATGTTAGTGTAATCTCAGCATATTAGTACAATCTTAGTATATTGCAGAGCTGACGACACCGAGGAGGGAAGGGGGAGGGGACACAGGTTCCCCCCCTCCCCTCCCAACTTTTTTTCTTAAGGTTCTTTTTTTTTTTTTGAAAGAAAGTTCTAGATATAGAGGACTTTTTTTATAAATTGACGATTGTGCCTCTTCACTCTCAAATCCGTCGTCGGCCCTGTATTGAACTTAGATTCAATGTTTTGGTTTTTCTTAGAAGCTTAGGTTCAATGTTTAAGAACACTTGTAATTGTATATAAAAATGCATCAAATATCAAAACTTATATAAAAAAAACCGTTAACATGCTTTTTATTTTAGCTCAAATACGTCGGGTCTTGATTATATACAATACGTTTTCAAAATGTTATCACATTTACAAAACGGCTTAAAAATGCCTTCGCTTTACTGGTTGCTACTAACCCAGTCGACTTTGGGTCTGAAAAAATATCTTTTGAATGTTTATAAGACGTTTTTTTTTAAAAGTACCTGCTCAAATTTTAACTTTTTAATTAAATTTACATGAACAACTTGCCCTTATGTTCCATTAGCCCCATAAAACGGGGCTATTTGAGCATAAGAGCAAGTTGAGAAAATAAAGTCTCGGAAACAAAGTCTTGTGTAGTTTTTGAGTTATTATTTTGGCCAAATAATAACTCAAAAACTACACAACTCATGACAAAACAGTTAATGAATCACAGTTAAGTAATTAAAATGGTAAAACAACACGCAACAAAAGGTTGTTAAACGGCAGTCGAGTATGATGCTCGGGGATTTTTTATACTTTTAAAATGGCAATAAACTGAATAAATCTGTTACACTTATATATAAATAGCATCACTTTAGTGTTGATTTGTCACCAATTCAACGGACTTAACAATAGCTATAATTTTTATCCGAAGTCTTACAATTTTTTTTAATCTAACTAATGTCTGGGGGGGTGACATGTATGGGTATAACAGAGAATATTCCTCCAGTAATATTCATTTATACAATTATTAAATCAAAACCCCCAAATATCTTTTATCTCTCCCACACACTTTGTTACATAAACTATGCTAATGATGATTGGTTCAGCTCTAATGTAAGTAAGATTGGAAAACTGCTAACCCAGCAAAAGCGCTACGTTTTTAAAACGTTTATAAAACCTCTTTTAGATGTTTAGACATGTTCACGAGTTTTTAAAACGTTTTTTCCACATCATGTGTTTACTGGGAAGTAGACAAAAATTTCTATTATAATTCTTTCGAGCACAGTTCAATTCACAAATTCTAAAAAACAAAATATCTTTCAGTTAAATCTTTATCAAGTTCTTATTATTAAATAAAAACTAGATAATATATCCAACAGGCACAATGACGTTGAAAAAACGTTGAAACAACGTCGCAAACCGACCATATGCCATGTTGAAACAACGTTGAAATTTGGTTGAATTGGAAATAAAATCCGACGTCGAAAACTACGACGTTGAAACAACGTCGATGATTACGTCGTTTCAACGTTGATCTAACGTCTTTCTCGACTACATATTAACCATATTTCAACTTTATATAGGTGATATATTTGATTGATACGTAGTTGATAAGACGTTAGAACAACGTTGAAACAACGTAAATTCAACGTTGATTTTTGTTTTTTATTTTAGTTAAGTCCAATTAACTAAAAAATTATCTCAACTTTAATTGCAATAAAATAACACCATAAAAAAGCAATAATTTGCGCAGAGGATATTATATTTCACGTAAATTAATCAGATACAACTAAATTCCTTCAACGGACTTTATATACAATGCAAATAAAATAAAATGTTTAAAAAAAAAAGTTTTATTTATCAGTAATATATTTATCAATTTATCAATAATAACTATTATAAATAGTTCCAGTATAACTAGGAAAAAGTATGAATGTTATACGGGTGAATCGCCTTTTACCGACCGCCGACCACCACAATTTGATCTGTCGAGTGTGTATTTTAATAAAGTCATTATTCCTTTTCCTATTTCGGCAACTGTAGCAGTCACTTTAATTGACAAAACTCTCTCTATAAAAAAGGTATTGCCTGAGTAATTTGCATCAAATACATCAAAAAGTTAAAAATAAAATAGCATTAAAAAAGCGAACTGTGATTTTTAAAAAATAAATAATTTTACACTTAACTTACAAGTAAATACCTAATGTTTGTTCCTTTAAACTTCTCTTTACCTTTACCGCCAGCCATATTAAATTTTGATTATAAACCATTGGTCAACAACCTGCATTATAAATTGTTATTATTATTATAGTTACATTAAAAATTGATAAACATGCCTTTTACAAAATACAAATTATTCTCAATGAAAAATTGCACAAACCGCAAAGGTTTCTTAGCAAACCGTAATGCAAGTAAGAAAAAGAATTGATACAGGGGAACAGTTTGGTCCGAGGAGACCACCTTCTAAACGCAAGAAAACACCAAGAGCGGACAGTATAATCAGAAATATCTGCCTGGAAAACAGAAAAAAAGCCACTAAGCTTATCCATGAAGCTGTAATTGTTGTGTCAGACCGGACCATTTGTAGAAGGCTAAAAGAAGAGGGATTGATGTCCAGCCAAAAAAGTCAAAAATTGACAAAAAAATTTAAAAATATTAAAAATAAAGTCAAAAATTTTATATTTATGTAAGATGGTGCAACTTGCAACACAATAAAAACTGTTATGGCTTAGTTGATGTATTGCTATAGCCAGACAACTCGCATGATTTTAACCCCATAGAAAACATTTGGGAAATAGTAAAGCAAGAAATTGAAAAAAAAATCTTACTAATAAGCAAGATCTTATGGAAGAGATTATCAAGATCTGGCATAATAACCCAGTGTTGACAGAAACTATAAAAAATAAATTGCAAGCATGCCATAATGCAATGAAGCAGTTATTGCAATATATATTTATACTTTATATATATTTTATATAATTTATCATAATAATCAATAAATATTCAAAATGTTTAACTTTATTTATTTATTATTATTAAGTACAACTTTATAAATAAAATAAAAAACTTTAAATTGCACCATTATTGTATATCAGGCTTTCCCAGGAAAGACATGCGGTCGCAAGCCTTGTTTGTCCACGCATATAAGAAATTTTCAGAAAACGTGACCGCGGCATTATTTCGTGGGAAAGCGACAGAGAATAAAAAATAATTTTAAAAAAAGGAAACGAAGTCTAAACAAAGTATAAAATTGAAATTGGATGTAAAAAAAATATTTTGATAATAAAAAAAAAAAAGTAAAAAAAAGTAATTCTTGTAACAAAAAAAAAAAAAAAGTCTAGAACATTTTTTTCAAAATTTTCAAATCAAGGAAAAGACAAATTCAACAAGTCAAGGAAAAGACGACTATAAGTCATAAAGTTTTCACGAAAATAAAAAGACTTGATACGTAATTCACGAACTTCATCAGACAATGTATTAAAAAACTGATTCATTATTTACGCTAGACAAATTTGGTTAAACTTTTTCATTTAATTTAGTTTTTACGAAGGTTTATGCAATGGCGATGACTTTATTCCCCAATACTTAGACAAGAAAATAAATTGCTGTTTTAATTATTAAATATATTATTTGAGATTTTAAACATAACAAAATTTTAATGTGAAAAAAGTTCTTTCTCGACTTATTCTAAACTGATACTGAGTATACTGAGTCAATGCTCGCCTTTTATTACGTTGAAATTATTCAATTGCATAATTTTGTTATTACGAAAAAAGTTAAAAAATAATTGCATTGCTTCTGTTGTCATTGTTACGAAAACAGTTCCTTCGGGACATTATTATATATTAACACTCGTTCACAATGTCAATTAATGATTGCAAAATAAGCAACTCAATCGTTTTACAATAAAATTTTCTTTCATTTAAAAAAAAAACAAATATATTTTACTAATAAATAGCAATCGTTTTCGTGTTTTCTTGCGTATCAATACATTTAAACATTTAAATCAATACATTTAAACATTTAAATGTATTTACGAAACATTTAAAATTGTTTATAGTTCTATCGTGAATTTTAAAATATTACTGACTGATAAAAGTCAGTAACAAATTAAAGTCAGTAACAAAAACAGTCATAAACAAATTTTACATTAAAAGGTTTTTTTATTTTTTTTAAACATTATTCTTTTTGATTTGATTTTTCTTATTGATTTGATTTTTCATAGCTAAAATAACTACCACCCTAAAAAATAAATAAATAAAATATAGGAAAATTTTTTTTTTAATAATATACATTAATTTTTTAATTTTAAAGCACAAACAGATTTCTGTTATTTACTTTAAGGTTGCTTGCATTTTTGCGGTATTTTCGTTTAGCTATGTTTTGGCGCGAATTCTTGAAACGCATAATAATAAAACGTGGTCAGTTAGTCAGAAAAATTTATTCTATACGTGGACAAACAAGGCGTGCGACCGCACGCCTTTCCTGGGAATATATATATATATATATATATATATATATATATATATATATATATATATATATATATATATATATATATATATATATATATATATATATATATATATATATATATATATATATATATATATATATATATATATATATATATATATATATATATATATGTATATATATATACATACATATATATGTATGTTTATTTATGTACATATATATGTATGTATATATAGAGTAAAAAAAAGGTTAAGTATGCGTTACAAATCAACCTTTGTACTTCAAGGTTGTTCTTTAGCTCAAGGAAATACAAAAGTAAGAGAAAACAGTTACAAAAAAAATTATAATCAGACATAAAAAAAAAAGATTTATTTTATGTCTGATTAGAATTCGTCAAACTTTTAAAAATATATGCTACACATATTTTTAACACAAGTTTAAAACAAACTATAATAAGAAGATTCAAAAATTTTTTTATTTAAAACTACTTTTAACAAACCTTTGCATCACATTTTTTTGTATTTTTCTTAATGGTTTTACCTCCAAATTTAGAAAGTTTGTTAACCTAAAGGTTTAAGAATGTAATTACACCACATTATTTTTATAGTACATTTATAAAAAGTTACAAGTAGATTAACTTAGGCTAAGTTATTAATAAATACTTTTTCAAAAAACAATAAAAAAAATTGCAAAAAGTCATGGTTTGAAACAACCCATCACTTCTGACCTCACCCAAGAATCATTTAAACTGTTATCATAATCATTAAATTACTACTACAAGTTCATCCATAGAATTTCAGAACTATTTGTCATTATATTACTTTAATTACTGGAAAGAGTTTTTACTAACATCTCTTTCTAACAATAAAGATATATCAGAAAGACAAAAGAACCAAACATTAATTAATTTCTAAAAGCGTTGAAACACAAGAACAAAACATTTATAAAATAAAACATTATTCATAAATTAAATAAAATGTATTAATTTAGCAACCAATAAAATGTGTAAATCACTGAAGCATAGAAAAAAATGTTCAGAATCTTTTCTTTCTAAATCAACTTGCAGACAGACAATTAATACCTTGAGCTACAGTATGTGAAGTATGCATAAAAATTGTTTT